GAATGTCGTTGTTACTTAATAAGCAAAGTCACAGAAAGATAATACCGTTCAAGACACCGGAAAATAGTTCCGATGGATTCTCCGGCGATTGGGTCTGCGATTAGGTCTGCGAGGTCCTCTGACGGCGCGTGTGGCCTGCGGATTTCGAGTGTAAGGTCGGCGGCGGAAGGCGTGACTGCTTAGGGTGGAGGTGATGCTATGTGAAACTGTGTATTTTGGACTGAGGTTCTGAATTTTGGGCTAAGGTTCTGGCTGAGGCATGAACTGAGATTCTGAAAAATACTGCTAAGCTAAACTGGAACAAATGTCTCTGATACCATGTTGTAAGAATTAAAGATAGAATAGTAATGAGAAGAATGATTTTTGTGTGTATTTCATTGGAGGGTCAAGCCCATATATATATACATTACAAAGATAGAATATTCCTTTAAGATTCTATACAATAATAATATCCTAGAGTATATTCCTAAAATATTCTAAAGCATATTCTAAAGATAGAAGAATATTCTAAAACATATTCTAAAGAATATTCTATAATGTCTTTCACAACAAGAAAAAACCTTGGTGTGATCACTGCAAAAAATTGTGGCACACAGGGGAAACATGTTGGAAACTTCATGGAAAACCACCAGGAGCTGGAAAGAAGAAAGTTGAGAGGGCCGTACAAACTACTGTGACTGAGACTCAACAAGAGTCAGGAGTTGAATCTAAAAAGCTGCCTTTCACTCAGGAACAGATAGAGTACCTACTCCAATTTATACCCACCCAGAAAATCTCCAACCAAGAAAACCCTTCTTGTTCTTTTGCCCAAAATGGTAAAATAACATCATTTTTTTGTTCTGAAAAAACAAAAAACACCTGGGTCATTGACTCAGGTGCAACAGACCACATGACCTACATTCCAAATCTCTTTTCTTCATATCAACCTTGTGCAGGAGATAAGAAAGTTAGAGTTGCAGATGGCTCTTTTTCAGCCATAGCAGGGATGGGAAATATTAAAATTTCCTCATCCATTAACCTTTCTAAAGTTTTACATGTTCCAAAACTTTCCTGCAATCTTATCTCTATTAGCAAAATAACCAAAGACCTTCAGTGTTGTGTAAAGTTTTATCCTTCTTATTGCATTTTTCAGGATCTGGCATCGGGGAGGATGATTGGCAGTGCTAGAGAGGAGGATGGCCTATATGTTTTTGATGAAGGAACACAATTGAATAAACAAGGTCAAGAAAAAACTTGTCTGCAAACTATTTCCTTTCCTTGTAATAATGAAGTGTATTTAATGCACTATAGATTAGGTCACCCAAGTTTTTCCTATCTAAAAAGGTTGTTTCCTAAGTTATTTCATAATAAAAATCCTTCATCATTTCATTGTGATATGTGTGCACTTGCCAAACATCATAGGAGCTCTTATATCCCTCATAGTTACAAGCCAACTAGTCCTTTTACTATTGTACACAGTGATATTTGGGGTGCATCTAGAGTTTCAACTTTGAAAGGAAAAAGGTGGTTTGTAACTATCATAGATGATCACACACGGGTCACATGGTTTTTTTTATTAAAGAAAAATCTGAGATTGAGGAGGTGTTCAAGAAATTTTACTCAATGATTCAGACTCAATTCAATACTAATCTCAAGATTGTGAGAAGTGATCATGGTCTTGAGTATTTTTCTAAGAAGTTAAATAATTTTTTTGCTGAAAAAGGGATTATTCATCAAAGTTCCTGTATAAATACACCTGCTCAAAATGGAATAGCTGAGAGGAAAAATAGGCATTTGCTTGAAGTCACTCGTGCAATTATGTTTTCTGCTAGAATTCCAAAATATTTATGGGGAGAAGCTGTTTTACATGCTACCTATTTAATTAATAGGATGCCATCAAAGACTCTAGGATTTAAAACTCCCATTGATACACTTCAAGCCAGTTTTCCTGAAACTAGGCTTATCAACTCTCTTCCCAAAAAAATTTTTGGCTGCACAGTTTTTATTACCAACCCAGACAGAACTGCAAGCAAATTTGATCCTAGAGGCAAAACATGTGTTTTCTTAGGACTATCTTCAACACAGAAAGGCTATAAATGTTTTCACCCTACAACAAAAAAGATGTTTGTAACAATGAACACTGTTTTTGTTGAAAATCAACTTTTTTTGGTATTCATCTTCAGGGGGAGATTCCTAATGAAGATGGTGATAATGTGTCACATATCCATGAAAAACTTGAATTTCTTGACGTTAATCTAGATGCACAATATAATAGACAGTTAGATGCACTAGAAAATAGTCAAGAATCAAAAGAAAATGAAATAAAATTTTCTGAGACAAGGAAAGATGATGAACAGCAGACAAGGAAAGATGATGGACAGCAAACATGGCAAGGTTTATGAAAGGAGAGTTCCAAATCAAAGAATAGAGGACATCCCTGATCCTGCCACTGCTCATGAATTTGACTCAATGTCAGAAAATGACAAAGGTAATAATTCCAGTGATCTAAATCTACCCATTGCTCTCAGAAAAGAAAAAAGATCATGTGTTAAATACCCTATCTCAAACTATTTGTCCTATTCTCAGTTATCTGCATCATTTGCGGCCTTTACCTCTAATCTTTCCACTGTTTCTATTCCCTTAACCATACAGGAAGCTCTATCTAAACCTGAGTGGAAGAACACTGTTTTAGAAGAAATGAATGCTCTTGAAAAGAATCAGACATGGCAGGTTGTGGAATTACCCAAGAACAAACCAACAGTGGGATGAAAATGGGGATTTACCCTAAATTCAAGGCAAATGGTACACTTGAAAGATATAAGGCCAGATTGGTTGCCAAAGGATATACACAAACCTATGGCATAGATTATACAGAAACTTTTGCTCCAGTTGCAAAATTAAATACTATAAGGATCCTTCTATCTCTAGCTGCTAACCTAGACTGGCCTCTTCAACAGTTAGATGTGAAGAATGCTTTCTTAAATGGGAAGCTTGAAGAGGAAGTATACATGAGCCCCCTCCTGGGTTTGAGGAACAGTATGGCTCAAAGGTGTGCAAACTGGAGAAATCCTAATATGGACTTAAACAGTCCCCAAGGGCTTGGTTTGACAGGTTTACTCAATTCATAAAGAGGCAGGGATTCAAGCAAGCCCAAGCAGACCATACATTGTTCATGAAGTTCTCAAGTAAGGTTGAGATTGCAGTGTTAATTGTTTATGTGGATGATATCATTCTTACAGGAGACTATTATAAAGAGATTGAAGACCTAAAGAAAAAGCTGGCTCAGGAATTTGAGATCAGAGACCTGGGAGAATTGAAGTACTCCCTCCGTCCCTGAAAATACTTCCAAATTTCCCTTTTTGTCCGTCCCAAAAAGAACTTCCCTTTCCTTTTTTGACAAAGAATTTGTGGTTCACAGCATTTCTATCTCCTCTGCACAACTCTCCACCACACAATTCCCACTTTCTTAATCCACGTGTCACTTTATTTTGGAAGTAAATTAAGGGACGGAGGTAGTACTTTCTTGGCATGGAGATAGCCAGATCAAAGAAGGGAATTGTGGTATCTAAGAGGAAGTATGTACTAGACCTACTCCATGAAACAGGTATGAGTGCCTGCAGACCAATAGATACTCCAACTGATCCTAATCAAAAGTTAGGAGATGTCAAGGAAGGAGTACGAGTTAATGTTCAACAATATCAAAGATTGGTGGGAAGATTGATTTATCTGGCACATACAAGGCCAGATATTGCCTTTGCAGTTAGTATGGTTAGCCAATTCATGCATAATCCATTCCAGGAACATCTAGATGCTACCTACAGAATCCTAAGGTATTTGAAAAGCTGTCCAGGGAAAGGATTATATTTCAAAAAAGGTGACAATAGAAGTGTGGAAGCTTTTACAGATGCAGATTATGTTGGCTCAATAACTGATAGAAGGTCTACATCTGGGTATTGTACCTATGTATGGGGGAATCTAGTGACTTGGAGGAGTAAGAAGCAGAATGTGGTTGCTAGAAGTAGTGCAGAATCTGAATTCAGATCAATGGCTAATGGAATCTGAGAACTGCTTTGGATCAAGAGAGTGATTTCAGAGTTGAATATGAAAATGGAACTACCTATGAAGTTATATTGTGATAATAAGGCAGCCATTAATATTGCTCACAACCCTGGGCTACATGATCGTACTAAACATATTGAAGTAGACAGGCATTTTATCAAAGAGAAGATTGAAGCTGGAATTGTGTGTATACCATTCATATCTACCAAAGAACAAACAGCTGATATCTTTACAAAGGGGTTGTTCAAACCAGTGTTTGAACTACTTATAAGCAAGTTGGGAATGTATGATATATACTTACCAACTTGAGGGGGAGTGTAGAAAAATGTAACATGTATTTGTTATTTTAATTATATGTACATCCGGAACTGTATAGATAAGACTTAGAGTAGATAGAACTCTCTAACTAGTAGATAAGCTCGCGGAATAGATAGATCCTATATTTTAGGATCTGTAACAACTAGGCTTTATCTGTAACAACTAGGAATAGATAGATCCTATATTTTAGGATCTGTAACAACTTGTATATATATCATTGCCGGATGGCTCAATAATATTCAAGGAAGATTAATTCTTCAAACCTACAAAAATAATTCTTTGTTTAGTTTCTGCATATATCAACTTTAATTGCTAACTATTAATTTAACAGATTAAATTAATAATTAAATGAATCGGGATTACATAATGGAAATGGTGTACACCATTTTATAATTTCCTGTTTCAATAGATGTCTTTGTTTTCAAAATAGTTTTAGCTAGGAAGGAAGTTAAGATGATGGAAATGTGACTAACCAGGCTCGTCTAAAGATGGCTAAACAGGGAAGATGCAGAACATTAGTAATTTAAGGCTTTAAGCACCATAGAATGGAAATGGAACCCCAAAAACAAACTGAGTAATACCACAAAGAAATAAAATTCTAGAGTAGATCAGTAGATTGTGTCAATGGGGAAAAATCTACTAACCTGCAAACACCTTTCTCCTTTTCTTTGATCTTTCCATATCTTCCAGACAGGAAGTCATAGTTTCATCACAACTACGATCTCTATCGCCATGTTCTTCCCGTTTATCAGCCTGCTTAAGCTTTTCAAACATAATATCAAGAGAACAATGTTGACCTAGACCTTTCTCCCCATTTTTTTCATCTTTATTACCTAATTGAATGTCGTCATTGCTTCCCTCTGGAAACAGAAACTGCTCGTCCTTCCTCTGTCAAAATATTATACCCCCCATGTCCTTCAGTTGACTATATAAACTATACGTGACAACTGCAACTATTTAACATGACTACTAGTCAACAAAAATGTGTTCACATGAATTTTCCTCTTTCAAAAACCCATTACTCTGTAATGCATATGTCAACCAAAGCTTCAACATTACTCTGTAAATAAAGAACACTGAAAGAGAGAGAAAGAGATGGTTTGAAAACTAGCAAATAAAGCTAATAGAGTTTTGTGGAGTTCCTTAGCCAAACAACCAGTGAGAAAAACTCATCACTATAACTTGCAACTCTTAATTTTTAGGCAAGTTTTCGATATGGAGAGCATTAAATTGAATTTTGTGCATACTAACATCTAAAAAAAAGGGAATCTGCTGACATAATACTACTATAATCGATAATAATATGACTATATATATTCGTTAAAGTCTTTAACACAATGTAATTATTTTTTGATTTTACAATTTTGATTTTACAGACAAAGAGGCCCAATATGCACAATGAGGGAAATATAATGGGTATACTTGCACCTAGAAACACATTCAGGGCCAGTCCACCTAGAGAAACAAACATTAAGAACATGTGCACCTTTTTCCTTTAAAAAATGAAATACCCACAATCCAAAAAGTGATAATGAGCATGGATAATTGATAATTCATTTTGTGCAACCAGTAGGACTTCTTAAAATGAATTAAACATCTCAAAGACAGGGAAATTCTCAAATCCTGAAATTACGTTTATTACAGATGTAAATCAAATTAAAAATAATTCAGAACTAGATAAGCTAGGCCTCCTGTCATTTGGTAAAGAATCCGCTACCCTGATATTTTGCCCTACACTCCAACTGTCTATAACCTTCTGTGGTAAATTTTACTGCGTTCAAGTAAAGCTTGGTAAACCAGAATAGATAGAGCTTCAGTTCAAAATTTATGAAAAATTACCTTAACGGAACCAGGTAAAACAGAAGTTTTGTCCAATTTTTTGTTGAGGAATTTGGAGAGAGATATAGTTGGACGCTTTTCACTGGGAGCTTTAATATTGACATCTTTGTTTCTCCCATTTGACCTGAAAGTAAAAAATTGCTTGAAATTGTGATTCCCCAAATGCAATTCGCGTTTCAAAAAAAAGAAAACCTAATACGCATACCGAACAGAAGGGTGTAAGCGCAATGTTGAAGTGATCGAGCGCTGCCCCACCACACGGATTGAAGTTTGCTTTGAGTTCATCTTTCCGGGAGGTTCTGAAGTGATGTAAAAATAGAGTTCATTCACCTTTCCCGTCTCTCTCTTGCGCCCTCACTTTCCTTCATCCCCTGCCCCTTCTTTAAAAGAAAACGAATCCGAGCGAAAACTTACTTACAGTGATGAGCTCCCATGGAGGACCTTGGACTAATTCTCTCGACTGGGACTGTGAGCCTCCGAGAGCTGATTGAAACTCCTCCGGCCGGCCGGCAGTGACTTGCTAGCAGCTCTGTGTGGCAGCGAAAGAGGTCGTCTTCGGACTTGATAGGATGGACCTTTTTGGCGCGCATTCAACTTAAGTGGTTGGACAAATACTAAAGTTTAGTGTTTTATATTTTACTCTCTCCCTCCCTTAAAACTTTCACAAATTTGACTGGTACGAGAATTAATAAAGTAAAAACTGTGTGGTTGAGGTTTGTGCAGAGGAGAGAGAATTAACTAAAAGCACAAATTCTTTACTTAAAAAGGAAATTGGAAAAGTTAGTGGGACATCCAAAAAAAGAAAGTTGGCAAATTTTAAGGGACGGAGGGAGTATTTTTAGAGAGAATTCCCCAAATAGGAGCAAAACATAAACAAAATCCAAAAATAGGAGTAGAAAAATAATTAAAAAAATTATAAAATATTAATAAAATAAAAAATTTAATAAAAAATATTTTTTAAAATTTTTTAGTTTTTTAAAAAAATAATAAAAATTAGTAAAACTCCATAAAAAATTAAAAAATATATGGATGTCTTTCCCACCACCCGTACAACCTTCCTGCACCACCACCTCCGGGCGGTGAAAAAAAAAATCATTCTTCCTAAAAACTGTCATTTTTTCTGAAAATGCCAAAAACATGGCATATTTCTCTTTGCGAATGCCAACATTTTCATTATTTTCTGCCATAAATATGGCATTCGTAATGAACTTGGCATTTTTTTCCCTTGGTGACTAGAGGTGGTGGTGCAGAGGCGGCAGAGGAGGCGGTGAATTTTATTTTATTTTTTTGAGTTTTTTATTTTTTTAAAAAATATTTTTTTTTATTTTTTGAAAAATAAATAAATAAATAAATTATTATTATCGAATAAGTCATAAATTAACTAGGTTAAGATTAAATAAGTCATATTTTAGAATTAACTAGGTTAGGGATATTAAGGTTACAAAATTAATGTTTACTCCTATTGAAGGAAGTTTTAAGTTTTACTCCTATTTGTGCAATTATGTTTATGTTTACTCCTATATTGGGCAATTTCTATTTTTTTTATTGAACAATTTTGTCCAATTCCATTTATTTTGCTCCCCACGCTTTTAATTCGTGAAAAAAAAATTGGTATACATTTTTTTAGTGTACATGTTTCATATACTATGTACTTATTTATCTCAAGAATACAGAGTTGTCTGCACACAGAAAATTTTGTAGGACCCTATAGAGTTGTCTGTGTACAGACAACTTTGTGTTGTGAGACAGATTAATGTACGAAAGGTATAACAAAAAAGTGTACACATAGCACAACTGCTCTTAATTCGTAGGGAGTATTAAAATTATTTTTTGTTTGTTAATTTCGTTCACACATAAAACATTTTTTGTTTTGGTTGAAAATATTCCTAGAAAAAAACAACACATGTTTTGTCTGTGAACGAGATTCACAAACAAAAATATACTATTCTCACATTGGTGAGTATAAGGATGAGTATGACTAGAAATTTTCTTTGTTCGGATGACACATGATTTACACTTTACACTACTCTGTGTATATAAATCATTTTATTCTTTTTAATTTTGGTATTGAGCTTCTCTAACATAGTAACATGTAGTATTAAGATTTTTTGGGGAAAATATAATTTCTTTTTACTACTTCGTATTAGATTAATATGTTTATATTTTTCCAAGTTTTTCAATATTAAAAATATATAGCCATAACAAACTTTTTATCTTGTTTTTTATCATGTTTAGACTTCCTGCCTGGGTAGGTTTTAGTTTCCCGCCGAATAAGCGTGTGATGTTAAGACCTGAGGTTCCATCCTGAAAGATGAACCTGATAGGAGGAGTAGTTCATGTCTTGATATAGCACTTTGTTAATTCAAACTTTTCCGGTGTAGGATTCTAACACCCCTCCTCACGACCAGACACTTCGTCTGGATCGTGTCGTCGGTCATTTTTTCGTCGGTTCGTCATTGTCATTTTTAATCGTGTCGTCATTTTTTCATAAGGGGGCCCACATCATCGTTATGGATCGGTTTGGCTCTGATACCATGTTGAGACATGGGGTTCCATCCTGAAAGGTCAACCTGATAGGAGAAGTAGCTCATGTCTCAATATAGCACTTTGTTAATTAAAACTTTTCCGGTGTGGGATTCTAACATGTGACCAACTTTTCCGGGATGGAGAATCTTGTTTCTTGGCTTTAGATTATCAATCAATACTTAAGGTACAACAATGTCCAGGAGAATCTCTCCATACCAGTTTTCCTTGTGTTTGGAGCAAGGCTTGTAACCGTGACGGCGCCTGCACCGGCGTCCACTTCACTTGTGTTGTCACCGGCGGTGACTACAAAATCATCTGTTTTGGCATTCGTTCTTTTGGTCTTTGAGGAAGAAGATGAAGTGTTGATGATTCGGACTCCTCTCGAGCTGTTGCCATGTAGAGAGCAAGTGACTATGGTTTGCGTTAGTTTTATTTTTATTTGGATGGACTCTTTACTTTATTTTCGGATTGTTTATGTTAGTGGCAGTCTTGAGTTGTCAAGTTCAGCTATGATCAAGAGTATTGAGATCTCTTCAACCGTTAATTGCTTCGAAGTTCCTGTATGTTGAGCAAAAAGTTCCTTTCAATTTTGAATGAACTTTTCTATGCGTGATCAGGGACTGGGTGGACCTTTCAGCTATTATGAGTCTAGTGAAGCGGTAAAGAGTACAATGACCTTAAAGATCAGAAAGAACTCTATGTTGCCTATTTGACGGTCACGGATTCACATTGCTTTTTTAATGTGGTCGTCTCAGAGAGCCGATTCAAATGTTAGGTAGGGTAAAATTGTACCTCAATTTCAGTTTTTACAATTTTCATTTCACATAATAAAACAAGGGTATATATGTTCACACAATTGTACAAGGGTTTATACATTCATTTTTTCTAAGGTTAAATTTATAAATGATTAAAGTCTAATAAAGTGAAAGCATTTGAATTTAAGGCTAAAATATCTATTAATAACCTTACTCGCCTCGTCAATCACCTAAACTCAATCCCATTCTCCTAAGGGATGCACATATGATGACCATCTTTAATATGGTCGTTGATGTGTATTGAGGTATGACGAATGCTCCTACATTGAATTGTATTTTTAGAAGTCGATATTAAGGGATTCAATTGCAAGTGTTTACCAGATAGATTATTGGTTTGTCTCGACAAGTAATTAATGATGGTCACCTACAATTTAATAAATGTCTATCATAACCTATTGTCTAAATTGGATTTTTCAATTAATTGTGAAGTGTTATGATTTGACATGCATATATAAAAGGCTATTTAACCTAATATTTTTCCATCTAAGAAAATGGGTTCAATTAGTATATCTACATGGAGAGATTTTGGAACTGCATCTAAGAGTGTAATTCTTTGGGAACTACATTTAACAGTATAGAGCTTTTGGGATTACCCTAATGAAATTTTGTTCACACTACAAAGCGGATTTTTTATGATTTTAATTCATTTGTTGTAATGTTTTTATCTAACTTCTTCATCACACAATCACATACTCGCCCTCTCAATTTGATTTACAGTAATTCCTTTTTTGGTTATCTCCAAATGATTTTCCATTTTCCATATCAAGTCAAGAAATGTGAATAAATTGGCAACTTTACCCTTACCCTACTCATTCATACATCCTCTAGTTTTTCTATAGGTTCTCCGCATGCCCTAATACCTGTTGCGCGCGCACACACCTTTGTTCCACAAGGTCAACGAGTGGCCAATAAACCTGTAGGCAGTCGTTTAAGTATTCATATTTGGGTGTTTTTCTGTTAGAATTTTAAGGGTTATTTGGGTGATTTAATTTTATAAGATGAGGGCTTAATTGCCATTTTTATATAGTGTGAGGGGAGATGTGATTGTTTTCCCAAGATATTTGGATCAGTTTAGGTAAAACTGGGTTTTAGCGAACAACTCGGTTCCGGTGAAAAGATAGAAATGAGGCATGCTACTTCCGTTGTTTAATAATTGTAACATGTTGAATTTTACATTTTTCACATATGTTCTACTCATTTCATTTTATTTTTTAAAGTTTGAATTTCACATTTTTTACTAATAACAAATTAAATGTATCAATGATCAAAGTGGTGCATTAACGAATATAAAAATGAGAGTGCCTCCAATTAAAAGTAATGAAGGAAGTATAAATGACGCCTACTTTTTCATTTAACAATTAAAGAAAAATGCAATGACCCTACAAATTAAGAGAACCCTGAAAAGGGACCTCAATATTTTGAAGGAGTTAACCTCAGTAAAGGAACCTCAATATATAGTAACAACTTTTAAGTTATTCGTTGGAATTCTAATGACAAAGAGAAACAAAAAAAGGAGTCACTAACCATCATGACATGTCTCTTCGCTCCAAAACAATATTTATTTATGTTTGAAAGTGCAATTTATGATGAGATCTGAATAGATGAAGATACTCATTTCTGTCTCAATGAACTTTACCAATTTTCATTTTTTATTTGTTGAAAAAAATGTTTTCATTTCAAAGTAGGAATTGATCTCTTCAAGCCACTTTCCTTAACATATGTACATGTAGAATTGGTTGTCAAGAATCTAGAAATATTAAATGAATCTGATGTTGACGAAGATGATATTGATGATTAGTGTGTAGACTATGAAGAACTATCGAGCACAACAGGTGCATTGAAAGAGTTTTGAACCAAAATGATATTATTAATATAATAATTTCTTAACTCAATGTTGGTTAGCATTCTTAAAAAAGTATTTTTTATATACAATATTTGGATATTGGGAATTCAATATACAATTGTTCACATTGTGGAGCAAGGTTTTGATTTGAAGGGAGAATTGAATCAATGTTTTCAAAGAAAAATCCAAAATACTCTCTTTGTTGCACATGGGAGAGTGCGAGCATGCGTAAAAGAACCTCGTCAGCGAAGCAACATCAATAGGTGGAAATCTCCTCCGATCATCAATCTTCATAGTAAAAATATCACTTAATTGGAAGTTTACTCTCAATAAAGGGATGAAGACCTAAATTTGCTCGATTATACATCTATGACACTAAGAATGATATTGAAAATAAAATGTTACATTTCAGGTATTCTTTTGTTTATATTCGTGGTGAGCGGAATTCCAATGCACTTTTTTAGTATCATGTGTATTACTACGCATTTTTCAAAGAAAATAAATTATAATAATTTAATAATATATAGGGATATTAGCCAGAAAAAACAATTGAATCAAGAAATTGTCGAAGAGTTGAAAACAGGTTAAATAAAAACAATCTTTTGGTGAAAAGTTTTGGTATGACTAAGGAAAAGATTCATCAAAACATTGATTTTAATATACAACTGAAGTTATTTGGTAGCTTCACCAGCAATGCAAGAACTTAAAATCTATCATCTCTTTATGAGGTGTCAACATTAATTATGTGAGACTTTAATGGATCTCTTGGAGAAAGAGATGTTTTTGTACAAATTCAGACATGACAGTTGCAGCAAATTAACGAGGTTAATCTAGCACATTTTGGATTATAGTATCCTTTGTTATTCTCATATGGTGAAGATGGATACAGGGATGATATTCCACTCACGAATTGAACTATAGTGGCATGAGTTTGAAGGTGGAGGATTAGTGTGCGTGATTTTTTTGGCGTATCATTGACAACAAAAGAGCGACAATGATTCATCTATATATTTTGAAGACGAAACGTCTTTTGCAACAATTTGTTGTTGATCATTATACCATATCATGATTGAGTTTGTCACACTACAATTTACAAGAACTCATCAAAAGCAGTTACATTGTGAGATGTATAAAAGGATTGAGTGACGTGAGCTTAAAGTCAACTATCGAACTGTGAGCTCAGGAGAACAACAAAAGCATCACCATTCCACTATGAGCTGAGGTTACCCTCCTCTCAATTGATCACGATGTATCTAAGCTTGGACTCTACATCCGAGCATAGAACCTCATACAAAGATTGTGCACTTAGACAAATACAACACTTGAATTCCACACACCCGCATGATTACGTCATCAACATAGTAGTTGTTCAAGGCCAACTTCACTCAGGCCGTTAAACACAAAAGATTTTAGACTTACACGTGTCGCTTATCCATGCGTTCCAGTACGTAAAGGACAAATTATGGTACAAACAGTAGTACAGTACCAATCAGCTAGATGAAGATTATTCTCTCATCAATTAACTTTACATGCGTCAACATTCTATTAGACTAGTTAATTTTACTTGTTACCCAAGTATTTCATTTTACACGATATGTATCACCATTCTTACTCTCAAACTTACTGTTACGCTGCAACATTTATTCATGTCACAATGCGATTTTCTTTTATTATCATGCCATGAGATGCTTATTTTCTCTCATACATTACTTTTTGTGCATATCTCTGGCACTTATATTATTTTCTTTTTTAGATATACTATTATTTGGTGTGGGTATTGTGTTGTTTATGTTGTACACAATTTTTATGTTTTATATTTGTGTAGAGTATTCCACCGTGAATCGCACGAGTGAGATACGAGTCATTCGTTTAACATTTAAAGAAAAAAACACAACAGACCTACAAAAAGAAAGGGATCATTAACCACATGCATCTCTAAGATATGAATAGAGATGAAGACACTCTTGAAAGGTCCCATGTTTTAGACTCCATGAATGGAGTTTCAGCTCTATTTATCCGAGACTCTCCCAACCCCCTCCATTGACCCCCTAGGGTAAATTGTCTATGCACAGACAATTTGACCCGCGTGTACAATGTCGTGTCCACAAAGCCAGACTGAAAAATTATCAGTCCCGTTTCGTGTACACGGCATTGTACACGCTATTGTACAAGTCGATCAAATTGTCTGTATCACACACATTTTAAACAAAAAATTTTATAAAATGCCTGTGATACTGACAATTTGACCAGTTTTTTATGAAGAAAACCAATTTTCACATAGACCAAAAAATTGTCTATAGCACAGACATTTTAAACGATAATTTTTCATAAAATGTCTGTGGTACAAACAATTTTAAATGAGAATTTTAAACGAGAATTTTAAAATATCTGTGATACTGATAAATTTTTTATTTTGTATGTGGGGAAATCGGATTTTTTCATAAAACACCAGTCAAATTATCTTTACACATATAATTTGACCAAAATGTATGGCATGTTCATACGGTGGTGTACAAAGACAAAAATGATGTTTGTACACACTCTTATACACACTTTTGTACACACCTATATATGTGAAAGCTTTTTTTTGTCTGTGAACATCGATTCACAGACAATGTTTTGCACAAACAAAATATTGTCTGTGAACCGGATTCACAGACAAAAAAAAGTTTCACTAAAATGGTGTGTATAAGGTGTGTACAAGAGTGTGTACATCAAACATGGTTCGTACAAAGAGCATGTTTAAAAAATAATTGCACTTCACATCGTGGGAAGAAAAATGCTACGTGTACATGGTTTGTACGCACCTTGTACATGCTATAAATACCCCATAATTTTTACTACTCCGTATTTCATTTTTGCTTTTTTACCCTCTTTCTCTCTCCCTTCTCTCCTTCCCCTTTCTTTTTTGCGCCTTGCCCGTAACTTCTCTCCAGCAGCCCACTTTCTCCTTTCTTTTTTCTTCTTCATTTTCATTTCAATCCTTCCCCACATTTAATTTTCATAAGCCATTTTATTTGTCACTATGGTGTTCACGAATGAATATGGAGCGCCGCAGACCTGGAAGCCATCGTCGTCTGGAGCCGCCGCCCAGATGCTGCCATGGCCTGGAAAATTGCAGGGCTGACCACCCGCGAGCGTTTCCGACATGGAGTATCGATTTACGACTTGGTGAATTGTTGTTGACCCATTGCCACCGTGGCATTCATTCCCCCTTCATCTTCCTTCTATCCAATCTTCTTAACCCAAACTCATTAGATACTAATTTGCCTCTTTTTGTTATTGTGGCTTAGGGTTTTAACTCTGTTTTTTTCTTTTAAATTTTATATTTTATTGATATTTTATTGTCGTTTATTTGACACTTTTGTTTCACTATATTATTTGAGAACATCATTTTTTTGTACATATCCTTTAAAGTTCTGAATTTCTTATTATAGGTGCTTTTGAGCTCATATTTTTGTGAGTGGTTGTGCTTGGGTTGCTGTATTGGAATACATTGTAATGTTACTGTTGTTGTGTAACCAAATAATGATTTTCATATTTTCCATAAGCCTATTATTGCTGATATCAATATTAGGGTGCTAAAGTATTTTGTTTCTCTTAGTTCAAACATTTGTTTTTGGAGAGTTACTATATTCTTTAATTATCAAAGTGATGTTGTTTTTCTAGTTATGATCAAACATTTGGTTTGACAAAAATCTTCTTTTTGAAATTTAATTGAATGTCCTATTATGTTATTCGAATCTTTGTCCCGTTGAAAGCTAAGAATCTGTTTGAAATCTACAATGTTGTTTTTTTATCGCTTAGTAATATGTTTCAGAATTTGGTATTTATAACAGGCATTCTATTCAAAATTTCCTTATAGTCTGCATCCTCCTGATTTGCTTTTTTGTTTTATTGAGTGGCTAAGTGGTTCCAGTCTGTCGGGATAGATTTAAAAATGTTCCATACACATGATAAGTATTCATCGTTATCTTCCCTATAATATGTATTCTACTACTCTTTTAGTACTTAAGTTTGGTTTGTGGAAGACGAGTGAATATTAGTTTCATCTTTAGAAGTCTTACACTATATCATTGATCTGCACCAAATTTGAGTAAAAAAATCTCTGTTTTCTTATATGAATAGATCAGATTCTGCTCAAGTTAAATGCCCATGTGGGTAGTACCCTTTCCTGGATCCTAATAACCATGTAGTTATGCCAACGTTCACTGAGATGCCCTTTTAGGGAAATTAAAAAGACAACAAAATTTAATTTAATAAGTTATGAAAATCTGTATTCTCCTTGCCATATATCTATATAGAAACATGGCCATTCTATAATCAGACAGGCTATATAATTCCATATGTTTCAAATTGCATTCCAGGTGAAGTCCTACATAAAAAATTAAAGGTTTTGCCCTATGGCATTTGGACTAGTGTTTGCTAACTATATATATGTCTCCTGATTTTTATAAAGAGAAGATGCATATACTTTGTATTCTTGATTGGGGATGATAATTTTATAAATGTACTTCATTTGCATTGAGTTAACTGAATTCTATTCATGTGTTTAGTTGGATAATTATGATTAGCAGCCCCCCCCCCCCGCACTTTCTGGCATTCTGTCCTGAAATTTACTAGCCATGCACTGCCGTTTAGCAGTTTTGTTCTATCCTGGTGTAACTATGCCCTTATATTGTACTTATCAGGAAAAGTACTCCCTCAAGAGGAGATCCGGGACAAGAAATCTGTTGTTTGGAGATGCTCATAACATGGATGAGAGATATTGTTCCAACTGCCAAGTTAATATTTAATAGATGCTAAATTAGCTTGAACTTTGTACCGTTGAGATATATTGACTAGTTGTCTATTAGTTTTAGAAAGTTATTGATGTAATTATGTAGAATCAATATTGAATGAGGTGTTTTTTAATCATATTATACTTTTCTAAATGTTGTCCAACATTCTATTATGTTTAAATGTAATACGAAGTATAAGTTTTTTGCTTTGCCTCTATAAATTCATTTTATTGTAATGTATTGTCTGGGCACAGACAATTATTGTTTGGGCACAGATAACTAAAGTGTTATCACACTTTAATGATTCTCATTGATTTTCTACTAAAAGAACAATTGAAACGAATAAAATCTAACTATAACAAAGCACTATAATTAATGTAATGTTATCAATTCAACTTAGCAATTATTGCACACTTCATGTTCGATTCACATACAATTTCACTTAGCAAATTAGCTCATTCCAGTGACTATTGCTTGTGACCGTGCATTTTATGTCTGTCTCACATACAATTCCACTTAGCGAATTAGTTTGTTCCATTGTCTATTGTCTGTGACGGGACACTTCATGTTTAATTCACAGATAATTACACTTAGGAAATTAGCTCATTCTTATGCCTATCATGGTCAGACACTTCATGTCTGATTCACAGACAATTCCACATAATAAGTTATCCAACATTAGAATGTCAACTAGTTAATATACATTAGTCGGCATTGGAATGTTGGAATGTGTTGTCATTTGGGCTCTAAATGATAATGCTTGTTTCTTTTGGATTAGTTGGCATTGAGAATTGAGATGTTGGAGTGTATATGACATTAGGGTTGTAAATGATAATGCTTGTTCACTTGGCAAGTTGACTTATTTAAGTGGTTATTGTTTGTAACCAGACACTTCAAATCGCGTTCACAGACAATTCCGATTAACACATTTGTCTGTTCTAGTGGCTATTGCCTGTGGTCGGACATTTCGTGTTTGCTTCACAGACAACTCCATTTAACACATGAGCTCATTAGCCCAACTCAGTGGCTATTGTTTGTGACCAGACACTACATATCACGTTCACAAACACTTTCACTTAGTACATTAGATCCGTTCAAGTGACTATTCTCCGTAACCAGACAATTCATGCTTGCTTCACAAACAATTCCACTAATGTACTAAATGAAAATGTCTGTGAACCTGCTGTGAAGTGTCTGGTCACAAACAATAGCCACTTGAATGGGCTAATGTGCTAAGTGAAATTGTCTGTGATCCAGACATGAAATGTCTGGCTACAGGCAATATGCACTGGAATGAGTAAATGTTCTAATTGGAATTGTCTGTGGACGGGACATGAAATGGCTAGTTACAAACAATTACTGTCGAGACACAAACAACTATTGTTTTGGTACAAACAAATGATGTCTGAGAACAAACAACTATTGTCTGGGCACAGACAACTACTGTCTCGACATAAACAACTATTGTTTGGGCAACTATTACGACACAAACAAAATTACATATGTATAAATAAAACTCTTCCCATTAATTTTTTGCAACAAAAACAATTATCTAGTCACAAATATTACATAGTATAAATAAAACTATTGCCTAGTCACAAACAAAACTACATGTGTATAAAGTCACAACTAAAAGAGATAACATACTCTCTTTAAACTATTTTACATCTCATTCACTTTCTTGAATCTCATCAATTTCATGCTGATGTAGTAATCATAATGAAGCAAATAACTACAACAAAGAACCATAGTGGATTAAGATGATAAATAAATGGCATCCATTTCATATACTTTGACGACCAGTTCCACTTTTCCCTAGCTAGCATTGCCAAAGAGGAGCATCAGGAGCAACCAAAGTTTCTGCATTGAGGCATGTGAGAAAAAATAAAATGTGACAAAATTATTTAGAAGGCTATAATCATTATATTGTATCTTACACTCTTGCAGGCTTAACAAAAAAATATTGAAATATGAGCTCAAGTTGCCCTATATTATATGATTCCCACCTGATTAGTATCCCTAAGTTAAACCCAACATTGAAATACATCTTTTGAAACATAAATACTTCATAAATACTTACTTCACCAACATTGAAATTTCATTTTTTTCATAACACAAAAGATGCACCTTTAGAAACATATATCACCTATAATTAAACATGTTATGGGTATAAATGAACAAGAGTAATTATCCTAAAATTTTGATAATTAACACTTCATATCTCTTACAATAAAATAAATTAATCAACTATTCAAGGTTATAGCATACCCTATCATCATCATTAGCATACCCAATACGGTGAATAATAAACATCACCAATCCATAATCATGAAGACAAATAGTCATAAATTTAACACTAGTAGTAACATAAATAAAATTTGAAAAATTAAAAACAGAGATAGCCTTAAAAGAAAAAACATCTAGCAAATTCACAATAATCAAATAATAGTCAATCAACAATTAGTATATCATACGTAGTAGTAAAACTGGAAGACAGAAAAGATAGTCTAAAACTCATTAGAAACTAATGTACATTAACACAATAGAGAACAAAATCATGAATTTGAAAAAAATTCCATTGAGTCATTTTAACAAACACATTATGGGCATACAATGAAATAGAGTATTGGATTAAAATTCCCAATAACTAACACCACAATCTTTTACAATAAAACAAAAATGCAATTATTCAATGTTACGACATATATAAATTCCAGGGAAAATAAATAAAAGGAAAAATGGAAACTAATAATCCAACCTTTTAGCGGTCTTCTTACAATAGTCTCACTTTTTCATTATTCATGAATAATACAACCTTTGCACCCCATCTCTGGTCCCTGACCGGTTTATGACTTGTTATTCTAAATTATTTTCTTGTCTTTGTAAAACATTATACCATAATTCTCACCTTATGATCACATAATGTTTTGCAAAGATAAGAAAATAAATTGGAATAACAGGTCATAAATCAGTCAGGGACCAATGAATGAAGATGAGGTGCAAATGTTGGATTATTCATGAATAATGAAAATGTGAAACTATTGTAAGAAGACCGCTAAAAGGTTGGATTATTAGTTTCCATTTTTCCTAAATAAAAAACCCTAAAATGTATATGGAAAAATCGGAGTAAATTACCTCAATAATAATGATTTTGGGAAGATTCATCCATCAAGAACATTTCATCATACTATTTTGTATAATAAATAAATTGGAAGATGGGTGGAGTGAAAATGGTGGAGAAATTAGAGGAAAAAAGATGAAGAAGTGATGAAGAGGAGAGAAAGAAAGTGATGGGTGGGAAGGTGTTATGCATAATGCGTAGCCGAGAGCGAAAAAAGAGAGAAAGAGAGTGAGAAAAGTGATGGGAAAATAAAGGTAAAAAAATTGAAGGGCCATGTTTGGTGTACATAAGATTACACAAAATGTGTACATTGTTCGTGTACATGGGCAATTGAGTATCAAATTCTGCCCTTTTCTAAATGAATTGACTGTGTACACAGACAACTAGAGGGGTTTTGTGTACAACTCATGTACACTAAGCATTTTCCAAAACTGAAAAAGGAATGGTGAAAACAAAAAAGAGTATCTACTGGGTGTGCAACTTGTGTACAAATCATATACCCTTAACACTTTTGTCTTGGGAAAGCAATGCCTAGTAACTAATAGGGTAGTTGGCGATATTTATGTACCTAATCAATATAGATACTGGTAGTTTCAGGTTAGAAGGAATTATCATCCGTTCGAAAGGAAAGATACCTCAACAGTCAAAAAGTAAGAAAGAAAAAATGGCGACACTGCAAGTCTCCAGCAATCTAATCTCTTGGAAATTTCCGATAGGTGCTGACCAAATATGAAAATGCATCAATATTTCTCTAATAAATTCCAGCTCTCTCTCCTATATGCCGCCTCTATAATTGAATTCATTCACTCATTCATATTCATCAATTCATTTCATAAAGAGAGAGTCTGCAGAAAATTTTTCTCTCGATAAAATTTTCCAGTCTTGCTTCTGGCAATCAATTCAATACTAGACACTTCAATAAGAGAGCGAATTTTTATATACTCCGTATATGCTATATTCATCACACCTGGCAGCAATTAGCGGAGCCCCGGAACTCTGTATTTACAAGTGGATGATTCTCTTTTATCCCAAAAACCCAACGCCTTCCTTGATCTTATCCATCACGTTTGCGGATTGTACACTTTGCGATTGGATCAAAGTCAATTTTGATTACAGTTTTCTGCGAATTTAAGGGGAAGAACCGGAGCTGAGATTTGAGATTTTACGTATATAATTGTATAGATACCCGGTTATATATATGTAATAGGCTTGGGATATAAGTAATGGTTTTCAGTTTTTTCGATTGAGTTTAGATGAGGATTTAACAGTATATATGCTGTACCTACTCATATAAATACATAAACATATTATATATATGCATACATAGTTACGTACAGTTTTGGGGAGTAAACATGGTTAGCGGAAAGTTGTTCCACTGTCGAAAGAACTCATGGCCTCCTGAAGAATACATCAACCGTACAACTTTACAGCTGGTAAGCTATTGTAGTAGTTATTTTTTAATGAGCTTTTATTATGATATAATTCTTTTTAATTCCACTGGTTTATCATTGGTACTTTCTCAGCTTCCCCTTTTCCCCTCCTGCTCTTTCTAGTGAGGCGTTGAACTTATGTGTTGATTTTATTGAAAACTTATACTTCGTATTTTGCAGCCTTAGCCTTTTTGGTTAAGATGGCTCACTGTGCTAACAAATTTTAGTGGGCAAGAGATTCGGTAAAAATGGAGAAGTGGTTATTAATAAACAGAATGAATAAAATGAAATCTAAATTTTGACAATTTAAAAGCATTCAATTTCAGAGTGGAATAAGATGAGATGATTGTTTGTTTTTGCAAAAACAAGGGGTGAAGTTTCATTTCAACGATGCTTCATTTGAATATTTGGTGGAGAATTGATTGGATTATTTTTATAAAAAGTGAGTGATTAAAATAAATATTGCTTTGATATGTAGTACTACGTATCTTGCAAAACTGAGTGAAAGAGAGAAAAGGTGCTGTTGTTATTTGTACATTGTTCCAAAAGGTGGAATCTCCCACCCCAGGAGCCCCCCACCCCGACCCAACAGGATGGTGGGGAGGTTAGTTACGGTGACTCAGTCAGCAGAATGGCAGTAGGCCCATACACCCGTGCGCACCAGAGGCAGGTGCTGTTGTTATTTGTACAGAAATGCAAGGAAGGTTGTGGCATGGTCGCATGGAAAGTCATTTTATAGTTACTTGTTATCTTCTCAATTTTCTTAATGGAAAACACTTGTTATCTTCTGAATTTAAAAGCATGTCTATAGGATATTTAGGTCTACTTTTCCCTCTTTCATAGAACTAGACGAGAAGGAAACACACATAGAAATGAAGAAAGATAAAATATTATCAAATTTATGAATAAACAGTTTCTATTTATTTTCACATTTGTCAGTCACTTTAGATCCTCACCATTGGGAAACTTCTGTATCTGATCATTTTAGCCTCTCTTTTAAAGCAATTTTAAGTTGAACCATTTATAGCTCTGTTTTTCTTTGCTAAATGATGCAAACATAAAGCCCCAAGGTTTCGCACTTTCATCTGCTGTCACTATTCACCTACATTTTCCTCGAATCTACCTCTTAATTTAGTGTATTTATCTAGAATATATTCAGTTATTTGACGTTTTATGCACTCGGTTTTCAAAAACATAAGATAGAATGGCTTACTAAGTTAAGCTAGAACCATGCTTCAACTTACATGCTATGGCATTTGATTTTTCAATTTAAACCATTAGAAATGTTCTTTCTATCACTATCCAATCCATGGTTGCATAAATCATTAGGCTTCTATTGGTGCCCAACAAATTTGTAGTTAGTGTGTACATGTTCTATCCTTTCAATAAAGAGGTAGCACGGTGCACATTGGCGTCCCTGCAAGTCGAGGGTCCGGGGAAGGGTTCCACCACAAGGGTGTATAAGGAACAAGTCTTCCATTGTCATTTTGACAAGAGGCCTCTCCCAAGACTTGAACCCGTGACCTCTCAGTCACACGTTCTATCCTTACAATATGTAACCTAAAATACACATGATTTGTAATTGTAATTTATGTCTACACAGTGCAGTACTCACCCCGTCTTAAATTATAAGCCAATTTTGCTTATAGTGCAAGGTTTAATGGAAACTAGTGGGGATATGGTGATCTTTTATTGAAATAGAGGGGAAGTCATCATCATCATTACCCCAGTGCCACAAAGGCTCTCCCACCTACGGTGGGGTAAGGGGGGTCGGATGTACGCAGCCTTACCCCTATATTTTTTATGGATTGAGTGCTGCTTCATAATAAAAAAGCACATATAGTTTAGTGAGCCATTTTGCTTTATTCCATCATATTCCCAAGCCAAAAAAATAGGGAATCTTTGGCTCCATTGTAAATGATAGAAATATTGAAATAGAGGGAAAGTGAATTAGGAAAATTAAAATGTTATTGGGTTCAATGTGGTAAAGTGAACATTCTTCTGGGACAGACTAAAAAGCAAAGTAGAACCACTGTGATGGGATAAGGGAGTGTTTATATAAAAATGCCTAAGAGGTGAGTATTTGCCAATAATGTGTTGGTTAAAGGCGAGTTGGAACACCTAGGCGGCCAGCTAGGCTGAGTTTTACAACCCGATTCATTCAAGCCTTTCCTCAATTTACTCAAAGTGATGGTATCTTCTTTTTGTGTCATTGATGATTGAAGGATGTAATTCAACTTTCATTATATTCTTTATTGTTTTTATCTTATTGCTTATAAAAAATAGTGGTGAATCTAATATTTCTTTCTTTTTGTTTGGTTTAGTCTGATTCAGAATTAGTGGTGATTCTAATATCTCTTTTACTTTTATTTTGTTTTGTTTAGCTTGATTCAGATAGTGCCTCTCCACCATCCCAGGCCTGGAGAAGGAAACTAAATACCCATGCCAGTATTCTTAAAGAATTTAGTATTACTTTTACTGAAGCAATAAAAATGGTATTGCGTTTTTTCTTTTTTTTGTAGGATCTATTTTAACTGCAAAATCTATATAATTAAATCATGAATCGATTATCTAAGTACTCATCCCTCTTTGTCATTTGTTCCTGATTTCTCTTACTGCTTGTAGATTCGACTTGGTATACGTTTGTGGTCATATGTAAGAGAAGAGGCCTCCCATGGAAGGGTAACTCTCTAATTCAGCAAAATTTCTGTCATTTTAATCATTTAATTTAAGGAGTGGGAAAAGTTTTCCCATACTTTTTAAGTAGACCAGTTTACTGTGCCCTGCTTCAGACTTCAGAGGGCTCAACTCTCTTTCTATTTGTACAGAAAGCACCAATTGATCCTTTTACTCGAGAACGTTGTCGGCCATCAGCTGCACTGGGTGCTCCACTGGGAGGCATGGGGTAAGAGGATGAACTATAGAGTAATTATCTCACTTCATCCTAGAAAAATACAGTGATGTGATGATGGCTCGAATATATACTACAGGAGTGGAAGCATATCTAGAGGTTTTAGAGGCGAGTTTAGGCATTTTCAAATTCTTCCTGCAGAATGTGAGACTCCTCCAGTCATGGCCAATCAATTTTCAGTAAAGCTCTTCTCTCCAACTTTTGGTCTATCCTGTTGTATGTATGGAGTATATATTCCTCATTCGTGCTTTACGCCTGTATATGGTGGTATAGAGCATGATCTATATATGCAAAAATGCAAAATACATGTGTCAGTGTGTCACACAGAGAAGGTTGTTATGGACTTGTCTCTTGGAATGTTGTGAAAATGTGCAGATGTGGTCTTTTCCAAGAAGAGTCTTGGAATGCTGTTACATTTTCATGATCTCAGTTCTCACTGTGTTCTTTTCTTAAATGAGATTTCTTTTCTATTGTACTTCAAACTCTTCTCATTCTAAATAAACATTGGCAATTCTATGCTTAGAAGTTATTTTCTGTATAAAAGTGAACTGTTCTCTCTGAACCTTATTGTAAGGCACAATCTATCAAATTACACAAACCAATGAGAGTAGTCACTTTTCTTGAGTTCTTAAAAAATATAATGATATACCAATTATAACTTCTTTTATTATTTCCTGTAATCAATACTTTTAGAAGATAAATACATACGGAATAATATTAGGGACCAATAATGGAGAAAAACAATAAATATTTCATGTGAAATAAAAATGCCATATAAAAAGGACCATTTCCCCTTTTAAAAGATTTCCTAAATTAGGGATCACTGGAAGGAGTATCATTTTCCAACATAAGAGACTATGTGTTCCTATGAGTTTCCAACATAAGCAATTAAGCATTAGCTTCCTCTGTGCTTATCCGAACAGTTTAGTTATATAGGAATGAAAAACCAGAAGATAAATTACTTATTATATTGCTGGGATGGCTTGCCTATCTCACGTATGCTGTAAGATAAAATACTTTACCATCCAAATCCCCCCATTTAGTCGCTCCAAACTTTCTGTTTTAGTAAGGATAATCTTGTAGCTATGAGAATTTTGTTCTACTTTTTTGAAGAGAGATACTTTGAGTAGTGTCATCCAATATCACTCGTTAATAACTTCTTTTGGCATGCCAGATTTTCATCTCTCGAGATGGAGGCAACAAGAAGTATGCATCTGTTCTATCACCCGGCGTCCACGAAGGTTTAGGGTAAGTAACTATCTAATGGAGGTTTGTTCAATGGAACTCCCTTGTATAGGTCACTTTTCAACTTGTCTATGAATGCCTTAATTCGAAAGAGGTATACCATAAGATACATGGAAATACATTTTAGCCTCAGGGTTTAGAATAGGTTACTGTTCTGAAAAACTGAAAGGGGAAATAGAATCTAAGACTTGATCCATGTATCTAACAACAGTTATTCTTATATGACTTGTATTGTTATCTCACCGAGCCCCATACTCTTCCCCTTTATTAGTAGAGCATTTGGGTTATACCATCCTATTCAAGTGGTTCCTATGTGCAAGTAGAGTATCTTGTAGGTCCCTAAGATGCATCCGTAGTAGCATCAGAATATTGTATCTTTATTGAAACACTTGGTCCGATGTACCACATTTGAAGAGTATTAGTGTCCTAAGTGTAAAGGTTCAAATAAGCTCTTGTACTATTTTCAAACCGTCACTTAAGCCCCTGTACTAAAAAAAGTATCATATAAGTACGTCTACTTTACAAAATGGATCAATTTGACCATTTAATCAGCTTTTGACCTGTAATAGCATTTTTTAATACTTAAAAATTGTAAAAAAATGTTAAAATTTGAAGAAATATATACAAAAATTGTGAAATTTTTCAGAAAATCAAAGTCAATATTTTTTAATTTTTTAAAATATTTGTATATTCGACATCTATTTAAAAGGTTTTTAAAGTTTTTATTTTTTCTTTTTTATTTTCACATTATTTTTTCACTTATATTTTTTTATATTTTTTTTACTCTGTTGTTTTTAACATTTTATCTATTTTTATATTTATACTGTTTTTATATTATTATTAGATTATTTATTCAAATTTATATGGATTTTTGTAAGATTTATCAATATTCTTAATTTGATTTAAAAAAAAAACTGCAATAGCAGGTCAAAGGGTTTGGCTGATTGTATTTTAAAAGTAGACGTACTTATATGATACTTTTTTTTTAGTATAGGGGCTTAAGTGACGGATTAGAAATAACAGAAGGGCTTATTTGACCCTTTTTCCTTTAAATTTTAGAATGAACTGACAAAAACTCAAAATCTGAATGCTTACCGCCTTGAACTAATAATTGGAAATAAGATACCATTGCATGCTTGTATATAAGTTCTTTACATTTTACAGGAAGCATTGTGATCATGGTATATCTTCATGGGGATGGAATCTGAGTGGCCAGCACTCCACTTACCACGCATTGTTTCCTAGGACTTGGACCATCTATGATGGTAACTCTTTAATATATTCTTTTCTTCTTAATAATAAAAGGATTTATGCAATTTTGCCTATTCTTCTTATGTTATCTGTTGATGTTAACCTTTTCATCCAGGCGAACCAGATCCTGAACTTAAAGTGTCTTGTCGGCAGGTTTCACCATTTATTCCCCACAATTACAGAGAGAGCAGTCTTCCTACAGCTGTTTTCGTTTATACTGTATGGACAATTAGATCTTGATAGTAATTGTTTTCCAATTCTTCATTTTCTTTCTCAATAAGATACAAGTAGCTAGCCATGTTTCATGGTTTCTTCATTCTGTCACACATGTAGATTATTGGCACCTCATAATCATGGTATTGGGTAATTTTTACCGCATGATATTATTACTTAAAAGTTAACATTCACGCAGATTAGCAAAAGCTGTGTTATGGGACTTGCAAGGCTGCAACTATATGAATTGATTCCCCTCATTCCCTGGAAATTGATAAATTCTTTGCTAATAATATTATCATCATTTCCTTTGTAGTTGGTGAACACTGGGAGGGAAAGGGCAAAAGTCAGCCTCCTTTTTACGTGGGCGGTAAGGCTATCCTGCCCAAGCGGCTCTCAATGATTTTCTCTCTAATACAATTTGGTTCAACACATTCAGTCTTATTTGTTTCTTTTTTACAGAATTCAGTTGGTGGTGTCTCCCACTTGTCAGGAGATCACGTTAATGAGCCATTTCTGTGAGTTCTATTTACAGATTCCATGTGTGCACATAACCAAATTTCTGATCTAGATTCGATTCCGTAAGTATTCTCTCTATTGCATTACAGGGGTGAAGATGGAGTCTCTGGTATACTTCTACATCACAAGCAAGTTTCTAACCTTACTAGCTATATATGACGGTTGGTTGGCAAATATCATTAATTTGCTCCTGCACTTTTCGTATTCTGGCAAGACAAAATGGATGCAATATTTACGCATGCTAGTCTACAAACATATATCTGTCATATGACATCAATTTAGGCTGATTCTTCTAACATGCTGTTTGTTTAAGTAGACGAATATATTTAATAAAAAAAAAATTGTAATCCTAGATTGGGAAGTAGCATGCTTTCCATTCTCACTAGGTTTATGTTTAAACTTTTCTATTCTTATTGGGTTTGGAAGTAGTTTCTTATTTCCCTATATAAGCATTGTTATAGTCTTCAGAACAATATTTCTATATGAGTATGGAAAATATATAATTTTGCTTCCTGTTAATAAGGAAGTTGCTACAACATCGGTTTTTGCTTAATTTAACAAACTTGATGATTTTGGTCGGTTGCAGGACCGCGAAAGACAATCCTCCCGTCACATTTGCAATTGCTGCATGTGAGACTCAGAATGTTAGCGTTACTGCGCTACCATGTTTTGGTTTAACTGAAGGAAGTCGCATAACCGCTAAAGATATGTGGGGTAAAATGGAAAAGGTGATTATTCTAGTACTCTAATCACTTTGCAGTTTTATCCATCTATGGTCAGATCAACTTGATTGTATATTTTTTCTTCTATTGCTCGAATCCTACCTCCAGTAGTTCAGAGTGATGGACCTGAATAACTGATCCATTGTTTTTGATTGGTGTATGTGTCTCAAGGATGGGCATTTTGATCGAGAGAATTTCAACAAGGGTCCAAGTATGCCATCATCACCTTGTGAGACACACTGTGCTGCAGTTTCTGCTTCTACCTGGGTTGAACCCCACGGGAAACGCACTGTTGCATTTGCTCTTGCATGGTCGTCTCCTCAAGTAAAATTTATGAAGGGAAAGTCATATTTTAGGTAATTTTGCTAGTGTGAATGCCTGCCTTACATCATCTGGGAATACTTGCCTTACATCTGATAATGCATGGAATTTGTATCTTTAGTTGCTACGTTGGATGCTTGATGAGTTTTCTTTCTAGTTTCTACTCGTGGATTCCAAATGAATAATTTTGGTGTAAAAAGTTAATGTCAAATAAAAAGGTGTTTAGTAATGTGAATCCCCCTCCCCCATCCAATTATCAACAAGCATAAACAAAAAATGTAGAAGTGCTTGTCCGTTATTTTGTTAATATTTTCACCTGATCATTTTTAAATTTATTTTAGATCTTACTTTTTGTTCTCGTCACCATTGTCTTTTTGGTTTAGCTATCTTGACCTTCGAAGCTTGTATTTTATTATGTTCTTCCACTGCCAGAACTTTCGAGATGCTTTTAGCCCTTAATTATTAGTTCTTCTCAAAATTAACTAATAGGACGTTAAAATTGGAAAGAATACTCCTGCCGTTTTTTTCTTTTTTCTTTGCTCTCAATTTGTATCATTATTCTTCTCACAGGAGGTACACAAAATACTACGGCACCTCTGAGAAGGCTGCTAAAGATATAGTGCATGATGCATTGACAAGTAAGTGGGCCATGTTTGACTTGATTCTGTGGAGTTTGTAATGACTGTAGTCTAAAGACTCTAAACTGGCAAGTACAATTAAATAATATAGAGCTGTGCACATATCTCAATTCTCAAAGTATTCTTAATTTTTGTATACAATTAATGGAAGCGTTTCAATCTTGATCAGATTATAAGCTGTGGGAAGAAGAGATTGAGAAATGGCAGCGTCCAGTACTTAATGATGAAAAGCTTCCAGAATGGTAATATGGTTCAACTGTTGCAAATTTAGTAAATATTGACGCCATTTTACTGTGAAATGAGCCTTTTCGAAACTTGTGGAGAAATATCGGTTTCCAACTTTGCATTCTTCTCTTCTATACTTTGTGAAAGTTCCTTGGAAAAATATTTCCTGATTTCATCCTGCTATATCTTTTATTTTGAAACTCCTGCTTTCCTTTCTTTTCTGGGACTCGTGAAATTTGTATGCCTTCTCAGTTGATGTATTTGGAATCTAAACTCACTCAGATAGGCTTCAGAGTTCAGACACTTTACTTCTTAGGGGTAATAAAGTCAAGAACTATCACATAAATGGATTGCATGTGAAGAGTACTCAGTAGGCTCAAATGCTCAATAATATTATAAACAATAATTAGTTCTAAATATGCTTACTCCAAGATAAATTTTCCAATATGTCAGTTTAATGAGATGCATACACTCCAGATCTAGAAGTTGATTTGTTTACATCTGTGAGTTTTAAAGCAAAGAGTTCACTTTTGTTGTCATTTGGCAACCACTTCTTAGAAGGGAACACAAGAAGAGCATGGCGGTTAAGGGTCCATAGTTTGGTGAATTTCTTTGTATTTTAGCTATGTTTTAAACTTTGTCACCTCAATAAGATATATACTCTTCAGAACAAAAAGTTAACTTCTTTTCTTTCATTTTGACCATGTTATAGATGGCGGCAGGCAGGCACTGCCAAGAATAGGCTTAGTTTTTAAAATAAGATTGCTTCAGTTTTCAAAATTATATGTCTAAGTATCTAAAATGAATTTAATGTTTAATTCATGTTTTAAATACTAATTTACTAGAAAAAATTAGTAAAATTGATGTAGCATAATATCAAGAGTTTTTTCCACTTTTGGTCCCCTGACTTTAGCGGCTTGGACAGTTTTAGTCCTCGTCTTTTGTTTTTCCCAGATTTGGTGCACAACTATGGAATATTGTTGTATCACACCTATGTATCTTTACTACGCAGTTGGCCAGAAAAATCAACCGGAGGACCAAAACTGGGAAATATTCAATTGTTGTGCACCAAATCTGGGAAAAACAAAAGACGGGGACTAAAATAGTCCCAACCACTAAAGTTGGGGGATCAAAAGTGGAAAAAACTCTAATATCAAAGACAAAAAGAATGTGAATCAAAGAAGTTACAAATTTTTCAATGACTCAACACTCTACAAACTGAAATATATCATCAAATATCTCACATTTCGTGTAGCATATATCCATTACTCACTCGTTTTTAAATATAAAAAGTGTGTAAATAAAACAATGTCACTTCGCCAAAAAATACAACAATCAAGCCTTAGTCCTAAAAGAGTTTGGGGTCAGCAAAAAATGATCGTTTTTAAAAAGCGTAGGCCATCTAAGAGAACCTCATGCTGCCTAGTCTGGGTGACTTTCTTTCATCCAAGTTGTGGTCAAAATCAGGGAGCCTGCCTTCCGCTTAATGCCTAGGCCTTTTTTGGAACATTGTTTTTTGAGAACTGTCAGTTCTACAGCAAATATCCACTTTAGTTGTCTTTTTGTGACCAACTCTTGGAGAAGGATTAGAAGAGCATTGCAATCAAGGATTTATTCAACTCGTAGAGAACAACACAAAACTCTTAACAATTGAAATTTGAGTTTATTTAAGCAAGTCAGAAAGTATAAGACATGATGGTGATCTTATTGTTTTCCAACCTAGAGAAAAACTAAAAACCCAGAGTAAAAATTTGAAAATTCTTGGTACACCTTACCTTTTTCTCATATATATCCTTCCTCCGTTCTTAAATAATTGCAACACTTCCCTTTTTTGGTAGTTTCATAATAGTTGCAACCTTTCTATTTTAGGAAATAAGCAATAGATAAAATGACTTTGATGCCCTTAATAGTTTGCGGACAGGATCTCTCTTCTTTTACTCGTCATAAATACCCATTTCCTAACTTATTTATGTTCATCCACTCAGCCTCCCCATTTGTCTTCTACTCTTCTCCCATCATTATCACGTCATCTTCTCCTCTCATCCTCACCCTCTTCTTTCTTTGTCCTTTTCTCTTCAATTTATTTTAAATTTGAATGGGATGGAAATCTTGCTAGACAATTTTAATAGTGAGGGTAGAGCTTTTTTGCTTGGGCTATAATTTTTTCTCTTCCATTGCCAGACACACCACAACAGCCATCACCCCTTCTCATTTTTTCCATTCCACCACACCCCACTACCATAATTCAGTAACTCTCCTTTTCCTATTTCTATTCTTCCGGCTCAGAGAACCCACAAAATGGTGATAATTAAAAAAATTGATTTGTTGAGAACCCATCGAACGGTACTCAACTCGAGCTGTTTTTGCATAAAAAGATTAAGGATTTTAATTGAAAATGAAGGAGAAGAATAAAAAAAGAATCGTTGCCAACTACCTGAAACCCTTATTTTGTATCCCATTTCGGTTCCTCACCAGTAGGAATAGTACAGGGTGCAGATAAAGATAATGATAATACTCATAATCGTGACTGACAAGGGTAAAAATGGAAAATACAAAAGTCAATCCTCAATTCTTAATTCCCGTGCCCAGCTCTATGTTGCAATTAAATCCTAACAGAGGATAGTACATCTGAATAAATTACATGTGGTGCAATTGCTTCTGCAAAATCTAAATTTCTGCTTAATATGAGCTATACATGTGTAGTTCATTTGAGCTGGATTTCTTTCACTGAAAGTATTCTGTTTTTCTTCCAAAAGTTCACTAATCTTGCGAGTGTATTGTGCAATGTTTATTGCGAAGTAGTGTGTACTGCCCAAAGTTTATTATCTATTTTTTGTGGAGATGCTTGATCATTGATCTAATATTTTTCAGGTACAAATTTACACTGTTTAATGAGCTATACTTTTTGGTTGCTGGTGGGACTGTATGGATTGGTATTCACCATCTTTTGTTCTCTCCTCTCCATGATATTCACTTTCTGTTGTATGCATGGTGATGTGTTTTGGGTAACGCAATTTAATGCTGGAAAAGATCTTCATGCGGCTAAAGAGCAATAAACATAGGCATCATTAATACTAATTGTCCTTAATAGTTATTAAATTTCTAGTGTGATAATTAAGTGTTACTAATCATTTTCATTTACCCCAGTGCCGCAAAGGCTCCCACCTACGGTGGGGTAAGGGGGGGTCGGATGTACGCAGTCTTACCCCTGCACTAAAGCACAAAGAGACTGCTTCCGGATGACCCATAGTGAAAATCGCGTCCAAAATTGCATGGACTGACTGCTGCTCCATAACAAAGAAGCGCAGACAGTTTAGTGAGCCATTTTGCTTTATTCCATCATAATCTCAAGCCAAAAAATAATGAATCTTTGACTCCAAAAAATAATTAAGTGTTTTACTAATAAGTTTACTAAATCAGTATTGGTTATTTAGGGGTCAAATGCGTAAATGATACCTTACCTATTGGTATTGTTGCGTTTTGGTACACCAACTCTTAAATGAATCAAATTAGTACCATAACTATACATAAATGTTTCAATTGACAATATTATTCAAACTTGCAGCCAAAAAATCCTACATGGCAATCAAAATTTCATGTGTAGAATCCACCATACAGCGAGACATGGACAAAAGTAAGGTGAGGTGGACTTTACACATAGAATTCAGGCCGCCACGTATGATCTTTTGGCCGAAAATTTGGATAATTGTCAATTGAAACATTTATGTATAGTTATGGTACTGATTTGATTCATTTAAAACTTAAGGTACCAAAATGTAACAATACCAATAGTTAAGATACCATTTATTTAGTTACATAACTTTGGTGTTCGAAAAGTCGTGTAAACTTTCACTGTATAAGGAGGTATTTGGCTGAATAATAATACATTGAGATTATTATTCCGCAAAGGAGTTTTGGCTGCCATTTGTTGAACCTCCTATCCTGGAACCTCCAAAGGCATTTCCTAGAGGGGCCGGTTCAAAGCCTTAAAAGTTGAGGAGTCCGTCAAGGAAGTTGCTCCCTAAGCTTTGCGGGTTTAATGCACCAAACCCCCTCGTGATATGTAAATTCGGCGCATTTGCCCCTTGTGATTTAAAAAATGCATCAAACTCCTTTTTTATAATTATTCATGCGCAAAACCCCCTCCCAAAACAAATTTAACAATTTAAAAATCACTTATCTTAATATTGTGATTGAATATGCAAGTAAGTTTGTCAAGATCTTCAAATTATGCAAAATATTAATCATTTTCTTTATTGGACAATTAAATTTGTTTTTAGAGTGGGTTTTGCGCATGAATAATTATAACACAGGGGGTTTGACGCAATTTTGAAATCACAGGCGATAAATGCGCCAAATTTATATATTATGAGGGGGTTTGGTGCATTAAACCCCAAGCTTTGCATGTATGGTTTTATCATATTCATCCATGTACACCTATATTTTTGAACCAACGTTAAAAATCACATTTTCCCTATATATGACCCAAGAGTATGTTGCCCCAGAATTTTTGTGTTGACGAGAATCCAAAAAAATTGTTACACACTCTCATGAACCTGTCAAAAAGCTTACTGAACCTGTCAAAAGCTTGGGGCAATGACAGCAAGCATATTCTTTTTGTTGCAAAAACAAAAGCTTTGAGCTAAAAAAGAAAGTGCTTGCTGAACCTGTCAATCTCTTGTGCATTGAATATGGAGGCTCATCATTCTTGTTCTGTGCTCATCCTGGCTTTTTAATGCAGATTCACAGGATAGTCAATTTATGCAAGGACCTGCGGAGAGCAACAAATTAAATGTAAATGAAACAGAAGATACGACTCATGCCCACCTTGAAAAAACTAGTTTTAATGGTTGTGAAAATGGTAATGGTTTTGCCAATTCCTCTAGTAGGTGGTTGGGGCCAGGACCTGTTAATAGTGAGGATGTTGGTAGGTTTCTGTACTTGGAAGGTATAGAATATATTATGTGGTGCACTTATGATGTTCACTTCTATGCATCATTTGCCCTTCTTGCACTGTTTCCAAAAATTGAACTCAGTATACAGCGTGAGTTTGCAAGAGCTGTCCTATGTGAAGATGGAAGAAAAGTTCGGTTCTTAGCAGAGGGAAATAGTGGAATTCGAAAGGCCAAAGGAGCTGTACCGCATGATCTTGGAACCCATGACCCGTGGCATGAAATGAATGCATACAACATACATGATACAAGTAAATGGAAGGATCTGAATCCAAAGTTTGTGCTTCAGGTGTATAGAGACTTTGCTGCAACAGGAGACTATTCTTTTGCAACTGATGTTTGGCCTTCTGTATGTGCTGCAATTGAATACATGGATCAATTTGATCGGGATAATGATGGCCTTATAGAAAATGATGGGTTTCCAGATCAAACATATGATGCTTGGACGGTTCATGGAATAAGTGCTTACTGCGGTTGCCTATGGCTTGCTGCACTTCAAGCTGCTGCGTCAATGGCCTTGCAACTTGGTGACATAGCCTTTGCAGAAAAGTGCAAAAGCAAATTTGTAGAAGCTAAGTCAGCCTTTGAAACCAAGCTGTGGAATGGCTCTTACTTCAACTATGACAGTGGGTCAAGTAGTAATAGCAAGTCAATTCAAGCTGATCAACTAGCAGGACAGTGGTATATGGCATCTTCAGGTTTGCCTGATCTTTTTGACTATGCAAAAATCCAAAGCACCCTCCAAAAAATATACGACTATAATGTCATGAAAGTTCAAGGAGGGAGGATGGGTGCAGTAAACGGAATGCACCCTAATGGCAAGGTGGATGAGACTTGCATGCAGTCCCGTGAAATTTGGACTGGAGTCACCTATGGTGTTGCTGCCACCATGATTCTTGCTGGGATGGAGGAGCAGGCCTTCACAACTGCTGAAGGTATATTTATTGCAGGCTGGTCTGAGGAGGGCTTTGGGTAAGTTTTTTACTTTTTTATTTCATTCGATCTTCAGTTTTTTTAATCCTTCACATGTCTTCTGCTAAGCATAATGTTGAAGCACCTTGCTGATAATACGGAACTTCTTATTCAAATTGGCTTTATATAGCTGGTTTGGAGGAGAACTAATGAAGTCTTCGTTTTTGACAACCACTAAGATACATATAGACAAAAAATTCAACTTGGTGTTAGATAAGGTTGTTATTGATCTCCTTACATACATATAATTAGCTACAATGCTTGTCCCAGTTTCTCAGACAAGGTAAAAGGACAGACTTATATCATTGATATAGATATATCAAATAATGAAATGACTTGTCCCAGACAAGGTTAAAGGACGGACTTATTCCCGGTGTCACTCTATTTTCTCATGCAGATACTCGTTTCAAACTCCAGAAGGATGGACTATGGATGGCCACTTCAGATCTTTGGGATATATGAGGCCACTTTCTATTTGGGGCATGCAGTGGGCACTATCGATGCCCAAAGCTATCCTGGAAGGACCTAGGATCAATATGATGGACGGAGTACAAATATCACCTCACGGTTCAAAACCTTCTCGTGATTCGGGCGTTAGAAAAAGAACAAGCAAAGCAAAGTGCTTTGGGAAATCTGTGTTCCATTGTGCTTGCTGACTGCTGAGTCTGACCATTTATTCTTATAAATCTCTGTAAAGTTTTGATCCAAGTTTCCCTTTTTTCGTCAAACCTTTCCCATAAAAAGAGAATGTTTTCCCGCCCGGTAGAGAAGCAAACTGCGACAAAAGAAGCAATCTGTCGCAGATGTAATTTTAGTATCGTTGTAACAGAATCTAAGTCTTAATTTCAACCACCCGCAGTTTTCTCTCCCTTGTTTCAATAATGGAATTATCCATAACAGCATAACCCATACATGATACACCCTTGTTGAGAAAATCCATGCACAATTTCATGACTCTGAAATGTGACTATATGTCCTATCATACGGAACAAAATATAATTAATCTTATTTTGAACTTCGTATATATATTTGGGAAAATGGAAATTAATAATCCAACCTTTTAGCGGTCTTCTTACATCAGTCCCACCTTTTGATTATTCATGAATAATCCAACCTTTTCACCGCATCTTCATTCACCGGTCCCTGGTCGATTTATGACCTGTTATTCCAAGTTATTTTCTTATCTTTGCAAAACATTATGTGATCATAAAGTGGGAATTAAGGCATAATGTTTTACAAAGATAAGAAAATAAATTGGAATAACAGGTCATAAATCGGTCAGAGATCAGTGAATGAAGATGGGGTGAAAAGGTTGGATTATTCATGAATAATCAAAAGGTGGGGTGCAAAGGTTGGATTATTCATGAATAATCAAAAGGTGTGACTATTGTAAGAAAACCGCTAAAAAGTTGGATTATTAGTTTCCATTTTCCCTATATATTTTTCTTATATGGGAAATTGCTTTGTTAACCTCCATGACTCCATGCAGTCAAAGTGAGTATTTATTTAGGAACAAAGGGAATCTTATATCCTTTTTCTTAAAGGAGGGGGTCTTGTATCCATTTGCTCTTTGCAACGTACTTGATGTTTTTTTAAAAGTGATCAACATTCAACAACTTCATTTGCAACTTTGTGAGTATGTTTAAGGGAGCGTTTGAGTTTGCTTGTGCTTCTTAAAAGTGATTTTTTAGTAGATTATTGGAAAAGTGATTTATAGTAAAAGTAGGTAGTGCTTGTAAATAAAAGTCATTTTAATCAAAATGTAAAAGTTTAAGTGTTTGATAAAAAAATTATTTGTGATAAATATTTTGATAAATTACAAAAGCACCCTTGTAATATTGAAGACGAATAGCAGATTCCGACCATGGAGCCAACCCAAATCATAGTCCATGCGGCCTCCTCTTTCTCAGTTTGCCAACGGTGACGCTGCTCAGCAGGAGCAAGAATACGCAGCAAATAAGGCAAGGAAAAAGGATGTTTTGCTCTTCAAACATGCTGACCAAGAAGTTTAGGTGAGAAACGAGAATGAATCTAAGCAATTTGATTTGACTATTTTACGGTAAAAACACTCTATCTATCTGTATACAAAAGGAGGAAGACAACTCATTTTTCTCGCTCAAAAATGCCACATCATGAGTCATATATCGGTCCAACCCAAATTGGTCCAGTGGTATGACTCTTGGTTATTTAAACTGTACAGTGCAGGCTAACAGAGTGTGAGATGGTAATTGTGTTCTTCAATGGGTCTTCGACGTGTCTGTATTTCACAAAATCTTTTCTTGGTTATTTTGTAAACTTTTATTTTATAATTATTTCGTGTGTGTTTGTGTGTGTAGGTTCATATTGATGTTAGGATGGTTAAAACCAGATTATAATAATTAAACAATAGTTAACTTTTTGAAATTTGAGCATTTAACCATACAGTTTATTTTACAATTTGTTAATTGTTATTATCTGTTTGATTCCTCTACAGTTATGAGAACATCAAATGTTAATAGTATTCAAATTCTTTGACGGTTGGTCAATATTATTAATTGATATCAACAGAAGGGAAAATGTTTTATCGTAGCAAATCTGCAAATGTATGAAGTTGAAGCTAAGGTATGGAAAATGTTAATGATAAAAAGTACCTCCGTCCTACCGACATTTTGACGTGAGGGAGTGATACTGTTATAAAAAAAATAGTTTGTGCGGTTGTTAATGAATCGATAAAGTAAGAATAATTTAGAAGCACATAAACTTTATCAAATTAGGTATTAGACAATCTTACTGGAACTGACCAAAAAGAAAAGATGAGACAATCTTAGTGGAACGGAGGGTGGTATTATGTAATAATTTCACATACTAAATTTAGCATATTCATATTACTTTCTCAGACTAAGTTTATCATTTTTCTTTTTTGGACATCTAAATGAAAGGTTCACATTTCTATTTTAAGAAATAAGTAACACTCTTAAATGACAACTTAATCATGAAATATTAAAAACAATACATTTATAACATTTTGTATTCAAATTATATTATTTACACATAATAATATAATTACACATTGTCTTTGTATTAAATTTAAAATATATTACTCATTATTAATTTTGACTATATTTTGTGCCGTAAATCATACGGATGAGAATCTAGTATTGCATTGAAATATGCAACCTAATTTGGTGGCATTTTCTGAAAAATCCGTGTTGTAGTCGTGTAGTGCAACATGAAACAATTTTGGTGCAACATCGTTAAATATTAGTGCAACATGAAACAGTTTTAGACTTTAGTTCAACTTTGCAAAATTTAAATGTTACCGCAACTTGAAGCTATTTCTAGTACAATATCTTATATTTTACGATCGAGATTCATTCTCTTTTCTCACATTAGATGCATTTCTCAATTTAATCAAAATATATAAGTAATGAAAAGGGATGCCATGAAATTCCTTTGGGGGGCGAAAGACATTTGGGCAGAGGGATTTGTCTCGAAATGCAGCTTGATGAATGCTCGTGGAGTCCTTGTGTTCTATGGCCATGGTCGTTGGTGAGGGAGAGAGGGAGTCATCCAAAAAGAAATGTCAGAGCAATTATTTTAGGTAGGATGAGGGTTGTTTTGGGATTTCGGTGAAAATATTTACTTTAGAAGTGTGGAATGTGATACACTACGAGGCCTTTTGGTAGCACTGTTTTTCGCCTTATCAGGCTTATCAATCAACTTTTTTCACCAAACACGTAATTTTTGCTTTCGCGCGCTGAATTGTGTAATAAGCAGAAAAAGTAAGGTTGAAGTTACTTTTCTGACTGTATTGGCTGAAGTTACTGTAGATGACCATTTTAGCTATTTTTACATATAATTTTTTCTTTACTTTATAAATAAAAATATTTTAAAAATACTTTTTTTTAAATCACCAGAATTAGCCAATGCAGCCACTTTAGCCAGAACTTCATAAATTTAAACAGAATCAACCAAATCAGTCGATTTTCATGCTACCAAACGGGCTCTTATATTATTAACAATCTTATATTATTAATTTATTATCTATGCTACTCATTGTGCAATGTGATTCATTTGAACCTTCTAGGGTTGTTCAAGTGATTTGAACCAAAAAGTTCTCTATGTTCACTAGTCCAATCTCTTGAAAAGCAATGTGGGGGAATTATTCGTAGCAAATATGGTACAAACATCCGCATGGTGGCGGACATGCTTTGTTCAAAGGTGTTCAATTGAATATCAAAAAATTTGAAAATATAATGTCAAAGTACATATCTAATTGATGTAGTAATATATACTCCGTATATTGTATTTCATATATAATACTTCATCCGCTCTCTTTTAGTTGCAACCGTCAATTTTGCACAATTTTCAACACACACTTTTGACGGTCAAAGCGTCAATATATCTTATTCTCTATTAGTAAATAAAAATAAAAAACAATTTTTGAAAATTTATTAGGAGACGAGTTGAACAATAACTTTAAAATGGAATAATTCTCATAAATTAATAAATAAAATGTAGTCAAAGTAGAGAATATGTGAATAATGTAAAATTCATCATGTTGCAATTATTTAAATAGGAAGGTAGTATTTCTTACATTTAATCTAGGGAAAAACGCACTTTTAGTCCCTTAAATAGTCAACATATTGAAATGTCAGAGTTGTATTTATGAGATTGTAAATGGCATCCCTGAATTGATCAAATTGCTATAAATGTGTTTCTTTGAATGGTGAAATGTACTCGTCACTCATATTGTACATTTCACCTCTAAAGATCACATTTACAGCAATTTGTCTATTGAGTAGTGACATTTACAAACTTAGGAACACGAGTTTAACATTTCAATATTGTGACTATTTCAGAGACTAGAAGCGCGATTTTCACTTTAATCTATTTGTTACTTAGTTGTTGAAAAAATTACATACTTTCAATGCTTAAATTGTTAGATCAAACTATGCTACTCCGTATTGTGCAATATATTCACAAGGCTAAAAGGGTTAAATAAAGCCCTCTACTCCATCCAGAATAATCAATTTGCCCCTTGGACCAAAAAAGCTCTAATTCACTCTGATCTCAACAAAAAAAATCAAATTTCAATTTTTGCAGGTAACAATTCAGTCACAACCATGTCACCCGGTTAGATGTTAACCGTACATTCCACGTTGCAATTTAAGGGGTCAAATAGGCCCCTGAACCCAACTGGCTTGTACACTTTAACTCCTCAACCGCTAAAAAGTGTCAAAATTGCAAAAAATAAAAATAAAAAATATAAATATAAAATAAAATACAAGTGGGTAGTACGAAATATTGGCATCTTTAAATAATATAATAAGGAAATATTTATATTTTGGGGAAAATTCAAAAAAGCAAACTAAAAGAAATTTTTCTTCAAATTTATTTCCATATTTATATCTGTTTTTTAGAAATAAACAATACATGTTTTTACTAATTAATATTAAATTGAAAAAATTCCCTTAATTGGAGTAAAAAGTTTTAAAATTTCAAAATAGGACTGTCAAGTTTTTATTTTCTAAATAGAGTAATTTATTCCAAGTTTGGCATTATCATACTTTAATAGGTATATAATATAATGAGGATAGTCATGATAACTGCGGTGTTATAAATGTATTATTTTTAATATTTAATGATTAATTTGTCATTTAAGATTATTGATTGTTTCATAAAATGGAAATGAGAACCATGAAGTTATCAAGTTTGACCGATTAATGTGGCACGGACCGGTCTTTTACATGCAACATGAAAATTTGAACTTTTTTGATCGAGTTTAGGATGTTAATTGGAACTTTTTTGAATTCAAAAGACAAATTGAACATTACTATGATATTTTTTGAACTCAAGAGGCAAATGGAGCAAATTGAGTACATGAACATATTGGTGTAATCTGGTGACGATCGTTTTGTAACTTAATAATAATTCAGCCATTCAGGACGCAGGAAATATTTTCATCATGTTAAAATAATTTCTCAAACCAAAAAATACAAATATACATGTGGAAAAAAAAAATCGGACCTACCATGGCATAAAGACAATGTGTAGGGCCAAAAGATAATCAGCCAAATCTTATTTACAGTTATATTATCTGGTAAACAATATCTGAGTACATTCTTATGACTCCAGCAATGATATCTTGGGTAAAACGACGTTCCCTATAAGATTTTGTGTCCTAGAACTAGCAATACGAGAATCAATGACAATGCTGCATGAAACTGGTTCCTCACTTCCTAGCTGAACACCATAGTATGAGAGATGATCTGAAATACTGTTCCCCGTCACTGACCTGAAAGTTCATTCCTTCTACAATATAAGCCGCAGTGACGAGGGAATAGAAAATACTCCGTAGTTCGTATGAGATAATTATTACTTCTGGTTAATGGGGGTCATGTTTTCTCTGCAGTAGCACATGAAAGAAAAGTATTACCTGCTGCAAGTTGGGTCTTCCCCGGAACCATCACAAACCTTCTCTGATGCAAAAACTAAACTTCCAAAACCAATATTATAAAGCCAAACCTACAACATCACCAATATTAAAACTAAGGTGCTAAGTAGAAAGGACGTGTTGTAAAGAAAAAGAGTACAAGATTAAAAGAAGGGCAAACCAAGCCACCAAGGTATTACCTCTAATGGGAAATGATGGTATGTCTTTGAAGGAAACAAATTAAAATATGGGGGCAAATGAGGCACAATATCATGACCATGCGTGACACGGATAGTGTTTGGCACACGCTGGCTATAACCGGATGCAAATGCTGCATTGCCAATTCTAGGCTGTCCAAATGTCATAACTTGAATATCTTCAGCACCAAAATTGACCTAAATAATAGTACAATGTTAATTATCATGAAACCAACACCTTGATATACATGTCACTGGATAATCGCATAAGGTGAAAAGAAACGCTAACTAATAAAGTGAAGACAAAAATACATGGATAAATACTTATTAATTTTTTCAAATGATTGGAGACTTGGTAGTATTACCGTAAGATCCAGCGCAAAGAAGGATGCCAATGCACCTCCCATTGAATGTCCTGTCACCATAATCTGATAATCTCTGTAGAACATTTTGGCTTCTTTAACAGCATTTAACACCCCAGAACGTATTTTGGAATCGTTATAACAATTATAAAATCCATGATGCACCTGAAAGACGGAAGCAAGGATGATATATGTGTATATACATGCACATTTATGTATGCAAGTATGTGTGATCATAAAAGAGTTTATAGGGCCAGACAATTTGGGATAGCAGTCACCATTGCATCATCCATTCCTGGATAATTTAAATCAAGCTGCTTCCAGTATAGATCTTCAACCCAGTTTTGTATGCTAATAAAATGAAATGACTGGAACTAGTAAGACATTAATGTGTAAGAAGGACAATGTTTTGTAGGAAGGACAGTGTTTTGCATAGGACTGGGAAAACCTGCTTGTACTGCCTCTAAATGCAACAACAATAGCATTAATATTAGGATCCACTCCAACAAATGCCTGCATGAGATATAAACTATTATAGTTGTAGCTATAAATGGAAATGGATATGAGTGATATAGCTACAGTGAAATCAGTCTAAACCTGAAGGCAATAATGGACATCCACAATCAGCTCAATCATATCAAATCCCTGTTTCAGTAAAACCAATGCTATTTGATAAAACTCTTGTTGATAATGATTGATGAAAATGCGTCGTATGAACTTGAAAGTTTCCAGCCATAAGCTTTGTATAATCATAATCAGAATATGATACCTTGGTTAAACCATCACAAATGGAGCAAGTCCAAGTAAAGAGTTCAATTGTATCTGTTATATAGACCTGCAAATGAAGCTTTGTACTTATTTTCTAGTTGCTAACGTCGAGATAATTACGGCACTAAGCAGATTAATTGAGGAGATGCGATTCTAATTAGATGCAAACAAGGTATTAACTTGATCAGTCCCGGATCATGAAATAAAATAAGTAAAGCTTATAAAAAAACAGAGTCGTGCAATTGTGAGAAAACTTACTGCTGCAGCATATTCCACCAAGATCATGGCGAGGGTGTGGTTATAAACAGCCAAATCAGATTTGAGCTTCGCGCTGATTTTGAGTTCTGCAGCCAAAAGTACCCACAGAAATAACTTATAAATTTGTTTTTACAATCATACTACGAAAAAACGAAGGAAAAGAAGATACCATGCTCATCAAATCCAATAGAGAAATGAAAACTATGCTACTGCGCAGCAAAGTATTGAATACCTAGGCCAGCCTACCTCTTCCGGGTGAGAGCAGAAATATAGATACGAAAATAACCGTCTTTAACCAAATTCTCCGTTCCATTTGCCCTATAAAAATTAAAGGTAAGAAAAGAATGCTATAGTTCCTCCTTCGTCCGTTCTTATTGCGATGGACCTGTGTGACTTTAACGTCTGACAAAATATGATTTTTCAGTTTTTCACCATTAATCTACGGAGGACTAGTTAATTAGTTATCTGTAGAAATCACAAAAAAGATTGACAATATAGATTTAAACATTAATTTCAGTAACAAGTCAAGCGTTGCACTTAATAGAGACGATAAAATAGCATACTAAAAGCCTACAATCACAAGTACCTGAAACAGATGCAGTGTTCAACGCCGGCACTTCGACCTGAAAATCACTTCAGGGCTTCAGTATTCCCTCAATGAACGAACATCGGCAATGATTAGAAAAGGATAACAGCAAAAGCCGGACGCCAACTAGTAGGAGGAGTACACGAAAATGAGAAGAAATACTGTGAAAAGGGCCGATGGATGAGGAAACTAGTCGGGTCATAGTTTCTCCTGACAAGAAAATAATCGGAATGCTAGACTGGGTCGGTAGATTATTTCCCAGCAGACGCCCGTTTTTCCTGGGGGTCGAGTCTGGGCTTATGTTCGTCGAGGGAGGTCAATGTCAATTGAGCTCGAGTGCTCAACCTATGATCTTATTCTTGTTGTTTTGAGACTTGAATTACTCCTCCTCGGCTTGAACCATCATCTGGCTCTGAGAAAAAGAAAACGTTCGACCGGATAACTTTTTCGGTGGCGGGTCAAACCAATAATTCAAAAAAGTTTTATTTTGAATTTTTTTGTTAGTTATTTGTCAAATAAATTCTCCTCTTTCGGTGTCCGATGATGCCAAGATTCTTGATTTAATTTATTTCCTTTCTAGTTTGGACAATATTTTTTTTTCAATTGTCTTTTTGAATAGCAAGTAGGACAGTTATGTTAGATTAGTCTACATAGTTGCAAGATTAGTGAATTAGTTTGGTACTTGGAGGCCATCTGATTCTACTATGTATGCCTCATACCGGTGTAGTCTAGAACTATTGTATTGCTTCATCTCTTATTACTTTTATCTTTAATAAATAAATTTCTTTTTTACAAACAAATGCACCTTTTACCAACAAAATATGTGACACGTGACTTGTTGTGCACCAATACATGTAGGCGTGTTTGGAAATATAAAAAACAATACTCCCTCCGTTCTCTAATTTTTGGTTCTCTTTCCATTTTGGGATATTCTCTATTAGTTGTCTCCCTTCCCACTTTTGATAAGTTTTTTCAATAAATATACTCATTTACCCTCATTCTCTTTCCTACTTTTTCATTCTCTTTCCTACTTTTACCGTTACACACAACTCACTGTATCTTTTATCCTACCCCTATTAATTACTTCTTAAATCTTGTGCCAAAGGCTATACTCTCATCTATTAGAGACGGAGGGAGTATGTTTTAAAGTATTATTGATATAAACTTATGGATAAATATGAGAGTTTTGTTATGATGATATATTATCGTAAACTTGAATATAATGATGATTTGTAAAACTAATTTTACAATAAGTAAAATATAATTTTTCTAACGTAATTTTGTCATCTTTACTTTTTAATTACTGAATTTGTGGTTTCTATATTTATTCTCTCATCTGAATGATTATCAATCACGCCATTTTCATTTCATTAATTTTTGTATCGGTCAAACTCGATAAAGTTCTGAGAGGCAGAGTAAAAAATCAAAGTTTTTAACCATCATCTTCACTTTTAGGCTCCGTTTGCAACTGCTTCTGAGAAGCACTTTTGGGCTTTTTTTGTCAATAGGAAATCAAAATAGGTGTTTGCAAAACACCACTTCTTCGTTTGTTCATTCGAAAAGCCGGAAGCAGCTTTTTTCTGATTCTTGGTAATTTGATAATTCTTGGTAACTAGGGAGCATTTACATTGTCAATAGGTAGTTTGTGTTGTTGTATCCCATTAGCTCTTCTCTCTTTCCTTGATACATCAATAAAAGAGTGACGTTTTTGTACATTAATAAAAGAATACATCGATCAATAATCATTTTTTATCAAACACTCCAATTTCAACATTTTTGTAAAATCATTTTTTTCAAACATTATCGACTTTTAGAGATAATCACTTTTTCAAATTTCTTTAGCAAAAGTCAAACACTCCCTTAATTGTATATTCGTCCTCTTTTCTAAAACAACTAGGGAGACTGATAAGAAAAAAGAAAGGCAATAACCCCATTGTTGTGTGGGGGGAGTGGTGCCAACACACGCTTGCAACAATTCATTTCTCTGCTTCCCCGTTTCTCCCTCGGATTATCTCATAGTTGGATTGATCTTCTCAAGAGTTTAGTTCCCACTGACGGAATGGGGTTAGGGCTATTAGCTTCACGCCTGATCAGAACCCGAGCAGCAAACCCTAGAGATCATTACCTTCTCCTCCGTTCTATCGTAACCAAACCTGAACTCCAATCCCCCGAATCATCGGCGGCAGCTGCACCGCAGCCGGAACCGGATCCTTTACCTCCACGGACACCGGTCGGAGGCGCGCGTGTCCACTTTCCCAACCCCGAGGACGCCATAGAAGTGTTTGTCGATGGATATCCAGTGAAAATCCCCAAAGGAATGACGGTGTTACAAGCCTGTGAAGTTGCAGGTGTGGACATTCCTAGATTCTGTTACCACAATAGACTTTCAATCGCCGGAAATTGCCGCATGTGCCTCGTTGAAGTTGAGAAATCTCCAAAGCCTGTAGCTTCATGTGCTATGCCAGCTCTTCCCGGTCAGTATTTAGTTTTTTTCAATGTTTAGTTCGGAATTTCGGATATCTGCATTTGTTGTTATCTTCGCTCTTCTAGTGTTGAAAATACAGGGTTTTGTTTATTTAGGCATGAAAATCAAGACTGACACGCCCTTGGCTAAGAAGGCGCGTGAAGGAGTGATGGAGTTTTTGCTGATGAATCATCCATTGGATTGTCCAATTTGTGATCAAGGTGGAGAGTGTGATCTTCAGGACCAGTCCATGGCTTTTGGATCTGATCGTGGCCGTTTCACTGAAATGAAGCGTTCTGTGGTTGATAAGAATCTCGGGCCTTTGGTGAAGACTGTCATGACTCGGTGCATTCAATGCACAAGGTCTGATTTCATGGCCTTTTTCTTCACACCTTGTGTAGTAGTAGTATTTTTTTTGGTTTCTTAAAGTTTTGATATGGTCAAAGAGCCAATGTCACTGGTTAGATTTACCCTGTCATGATCACTATAGTATTTTCCCCATATCTACATCTATCTGTGCTGCTTTTTAAAGAAGCTGCTATAGGTAGTCTATTTCTTGCAATTGCTTTCTAGATAGTGCTTATGATGTTTGATTTTCTACATAGTGGCATGGCTAATTGATCAAAATAAAACGGAGTTGTTCAGAAAAATAATAGACATATATTATGCTTGATTTAAGTACTTTTCTCGCAACTTGAATTGGCCTTGTAATACTCTTCGCAATATTCTGAAACAAACTTGTCTGCTTAACTTTTTGCCCCCACAGATGTGTCAGGTTTGCGACAGAGATCGCTGGAGTCCAGGATCTTGGCATGCTAGGTCGTGGCAGCGGAGAAGAAATTGGAACTTATGTCGAAAAGCTCATGACCAGTGAACTTTCTGGAAATGTTATAGATATTTGTCCTGTTGGAGCCCTTACATCAAAGCCTTTTGCATTTAAAGCCCGAAACTGGGAGTTGAAAGGTACAGAGAGCATTGATGTCACTGATGCAGTAGGATCAAACATCCGGATAGACAGCAGAGGACCAGAGGTCATGCGTATTCTTCCACGACTGAACGAGGTATATTTGGATTTATTGTGCTGTATTTTACTTGTATAGTATTTCTACATGCCTGTAACAGTGTTGAGGCTATATTTGGTAAAAAGTTTTAGGAGAACTTTCAGCCTTTGTCACATGATTTAGCTTTTTGAAAATGTAAAAAACTATTCATATTAGCTAAGGTAAAACTTATGTAGGAATCATTTTTTATTAGTTTTTTATTTTACATTGCATACATTTACAGACCAGTTGTAATTACTACTCCCTCCGTCCCCCTAACTTTGTCCCGTTTTATCTTTTTCATCCGTCCCATTAAGTTTGTCCCATACCATATTTGGTAATGTTTGAATGGTTAGAATTCATCCTTACTTTATTTACACTTTATCAATTCAATACCAATCACACAATTCCACTTTTTCTTATAAATCACACCACACCCCTTTGTGCTAAACTTAGGGGGACGGAGGTAGTATTAAATTGGGCCTACTCATTCGAAAAGCCTCAATGGTATAATTAATCTTAGACTCATATATCACTAGTCACATTGTACTTATACAATATAAGATTCTTAACATGTCTCTCATCCCCAAATGGGCAAGACAGCTTGAGATGGGCCAAAGTGATTCTAAACGTGCCCTAAACTATGGGGTGCCTAATGAACAAACATACCACAATTGGCCTAGACTTTGGTACCATATTCAATTTAGGTCTAACTTACTCCAAAGTCCAAAAGATACTCAAGAGGTATACTTTACCTCACATTTATAATTTTCTATATTACTCACAGATCTGATAATGTAAATAGCTATGTACCACTTATGTAAATAGCTAATGTAAATAAGTAAATAACTAAGTAAATAGTTAAATACCAAACAGAGCTTGAAAGACAGCCTTAAGGAAGGATTATAATTTCAAATGAAAATATTTTTCTAACAATTGGGAACACATAATTTTTTGTGCTTTATTTTAACTTTAAAATGTATAATTTTTCAGGACATAAATGAAGAATGGATATCAGATAAGACTCGTTTTTGCTATGATGGTTTGAAGAGGCAGAGGATAAACGACCCCATGATTCGTGGAGCTGATGGACGTTTCAAAGCTGTGAGCTGGCGTGATGCCTTAGCTGAAGTTGCCGAGGTTATCTGTCAATTAAAACCAGAGGAGATTGTTGGAATTGCTGGAAAGCTGTCCGATGCTGAATCAATGATAGCTCTGAAAGATTTCTTAAACAAAATGGGTTCAAATAATGTGTGGTGTGAGGGAAGTGGCCCAAGCCCCAATGCTGATCTACGATCCAGATACATCATGAATAGCACCATAAGTGGTCTTGAGAAGGCGGATGTATTCCTTTTGGTTGGCACCCAGGTAATATATACTATCCCTTTTCTAAAAAATATTTTAAAACCACAGGCCGAGATGCCTCATCAGTCACAGTTATCCTGTCTCATCAGATACCTCGATTTTAATAATGTGTATACTTGTTTGTCACACGAGGGTACTTTACTTGGGCTTTGCGTGTGTTTGTGTTGCAATAGTGGAAAGAGCGGTTGTGTAGTCACGTAGTATTATTTATATGAAGGTTTTTTCCTATAATATTACTGAGATGGAATTCATGGACAAAAAATGACACACAGTCACTACAGCCACTGCGGAAATACTATCATGGTCACTGCAGTAGTGACCATTGAACGAGGTCACTAGAGGCACTGCAAAAATACCACTATGGTAACTATATATTAAAAGTCACACTTTTGTTTACTGTTTCTATTATAGTCATATACTTTTTTTTGCTTTATATAAAATGTGGATATGTTTTTCGACTGGTCATATTGTATCCTTGTCTAATCACACATTTCAGCCAAGGGTAGAAGCTGCCATGGTAAATGCAAGAATCCGCAAGACAGTTCGTGCAACCAATGCAAAGGTAGGTTACGTTGGCCCACCCACTGATTTCAACTATGACTGT